GTGCAATGGGCTGCCGTGTTTCGCCCACAAAATACAGAGTCAATTCACTTTACGGTATATTCTGTGAAGTGCTTTGAGATGTCTTGAAGACGTGATAAAGCGCTATATCAACTACAACAACAACAACAAATTAAATTTGTAGTGCCTTTTGCATCGGGAGGACGTCCCAAAACACTGGACAGACAAGCTGGGGGTCGGGGTCAGGGAGGGTGGAGGGCACAGGGGAGCAGGGTGACCGAAAGCATGGTCGAAGATGGGGGTGTTGAGATGGATCTTGAAGGAGGCAAGGGAGGAGGCGAGGTGGAGGGACTGCGAGATGGAGATCCAGCGAGTGGGGGCAGAGTGGCAGAACGTCCGTCCGCCAATAATGGGGCGGGTGAGACAGGGGACGTGAAGCAGGCCAGAGCCTGCGGAGCAGAGGGAGCGAACAGGATAGTAGGGGTTGGGAGGTTGCAGACGTAGAGGGCTTTGAAGGTGAGGACCAGGATCTTGAAACTGTATCCTCTGTGCGATGAGAAGCCAGTGGAGGGCGAGGATGGGTTTGATTCCCGGCAGGGTGAAACCTTGGGCAAGTTTCCTTATTCCACACGCCTGATAATAATCCCTCAAAAAAAAACAATAATAAATTGGTCATTTTCAATCCAGACTGTTTGTGGGACACTGCTGTGTGCAATTGGCTGCTGCATTTCGCCCACAAACATACAGTCAATTCACTTTACAGTATATTCTGTGAAGCACTTTGAGACGTCTAGAAGACTTGAAAAGCGCTATATCAAATGCAAAGATTATTATTATTATTGTCAAGGTGATATGGTCATGGAGCCAGGTATGGGAGAGGACACGAGCTGCAGAGTTCTGGATGATCTGCAGCTTATGGAGGGAGGAAGGCTGACAAGCAAAGAGTTTGCATAATCAAGCCTCAATATAATGAAAGTGTGTTTGAGGTTCTCGGTGGCCTGCAGTGTGAAACAGTGGCGGAACCAGGCGATGTTGGGGAGGGGGGAAGGCAAAGTGAGTCATGGCACAGATGTGGGGTAGAAAGGATAGTTGAGCATCAAACCAGACCCCAAGGTTCTAGACTGGCTCAGTAAGGTGCAGTGTGCATCCTTGGATGGTGATGCTGTCAGCACCTGAGGTGTGGAGGCGCTGACAGCAGCCAATCAGGAGAGCCTCGGTCTTGTTGATGTTTAATTGAAGAAAAGTTAGCTCTCATCCAGGACTTGATGTCTGACAGACATTCTGTCAGCGCAGCAGTGGTCCTGGAGTCAAAGGTAGAGGCAGAGAGGTATAGTTGGGTGTCATCTGCATAAATGTGGCAGAATTATTATTATTATTATAAGCACTTGGAGATGTCTCAACGAGGTGGTACGGGGCTACGTCAAATGCAAGGATTATTATTATAATATTATTTAACAACAATTTCAATAGTAGTTGGTTGAATTGTTTTCATTACTTGATAAGAGTACATTGTAATGGGGTACTTGAGCAGAAACCTTAAGACATTAAAAATAATGTTGAAAATTCTAGGGGGGCATTAGGCGAAACCAAATTGGGTGCCTCACTGCTCATCAGAGAGGTGAGATGGTTTATTTACATAAAATGTGCTTCATCAGCGTAAATTGCTCCAGCGAAGTGCTAATGGTGCCACCATCAAATCTGTAAATCTGCCACCCTCTACGCGAATTCCCTTGAAAAAATGGCCTGCAGGAGCCCGGAGAGGGTGCATTTTTTACGCACACACAATGGGTTAATAGGAATAACATATTACAAGCAGCTGCTGAAATGTCAATTACAACATTTAAAAAAGAGGTTGGATAAACATCTTAAGTACAAATATAGAAAAATACAGGGTAATGAGATCAGAATAAACAGCTCTGTTGGGGGAGCTAGCACGATAGGAGAACAGGTATCTTGGGCTGAGATTTCTATGATTCTACAATTCCTGATTAATAAAAAAAGCAAAAAGAACTCTGTGATACAAGATCTCATAAAAAAATTATTCACTAATCCTTTGTCTTATTGATTTGTGTAGGAGACATTGCTGGAACGAATTGGCTGCTGTTTGTCAGTTGATACTTACTTAGCTGAAAGTCACTCATAGGGTAGAGGCAGCATTGTGAGACACCATGGCAACGAATCAATTATATCATTGAGGATATTTCATCATCATCATCAACAAATTACACTTATTGAGCCCTTTAATGTCAGGATAACAACCCAAAGCTCTGGACAGTCAACGGTTTGCACCCAAGCTTTTTTTCCTCACTATTTCAGAAGATTTTAAGATCTGCTTTACTGACTGTTCAGCCACAGAGGCCACTGTGCAAACATGCATCTGAAATGAGTTTTGCAGCGCTACTCTGGCAATCAGCATCATTATTATCCTGCCCCCTTACAATGCCACAGAACATACCTTTACATCACCTCAACTACCTTCATTCCTCATCACCTTCAAGCCCTACCACAAAACCGTCCTCTTCGACCATGCTTTTGACCTCCCTGCTTCCCCATCTGCCCTACCCCACATCGACCCTCAGCTTGGGTCCGTAACTCTAGTCTGTCCAGTGCCTTGGGAAGTCCTCCCAACGTGAAAGGCGCTAGACAAATGTAATTTTGTTGTTGTTGTTGTTGTTGATTCATCTCCCATCTCCCATCCCAATAATAAGTGCCATCTACAATAGCTTGCATGTGGAGTCCTGTAGCTCAGTGGTTAGAGCACTTGCTTTGCAAGCGAGAGACCTGGGTTCAATTCCCGGCAGGCTGAAACTTTGTGCAAGTTTCCTTACTCCACACGCCTGATAATAATCCCTCAAAAAAAAATTGGTCATTTCAATCCACGACTGCGGTGCGCAATTGGTTGCTGCATTTCACCCACAAATATACAGTCAATTACAGTCTATTCTGTGAATCGCTTTGAGAGGTCTAGAAGACATGAAAAGCGCTATATCAAATGCAAGGATTGTTATTATTGTTATTTATCTAGCAACACTCTCGCTGGGCAAACTGGGCAAAACGGGTCACTCACTCCATGGTTGTTCGTGGGACACTGCTCTGCACAACTAGCTGCCGTGTTTCACCCACAATCCACAGTCAATCAACTTTACAGTATATCCTTTGAAGCATGTGATAATGCAAGGATTATTATTATAATGTCTGAAAGCCCATAATGACAACTATAAGGGGAGATCAAACAAAAAGGCAATGTAATCAGATTTACAAATCTAACAACATGTTTCATTTATTGAACAAAACCTGGTAATAAAAAAACAAGTGCTTTAAAAAATTTAATTCTGCATGAGCAGTGCTTTATAATATATAATAATAATAATCCCTGCATTTGATATAGCGCTTTTCAGGTGTTCGAGATGTCTCAAAGCGCTTCACAGAATACACTGTAAAGTGAATTAACTATATATTTGTGGGCGAAACACGGCACAAATTGCTGTAAAAATCAATAAAAAAAATACCATCTCCATATAAGCAAACACCTCACGCTGCTCCTCTGATTTTACGTCCAAAGGCATAAACTTGTTTGTCAGGAAATCCTGGCTTAGATCCAGGTGTACATTGATTCCCCTGGATCTGCAATTCTACTGGGAGTATAATAGCATTGAATAGGAAGTGCTTTTTGGATTAGGTGAGGGTGGATTTTGCAGGTGGCTCATTCTTACAAAGGGGAAAGAGAGAGGGGGAAGGTTGTAGCTTTGAGTTCATCCCTATGGTACCCCCTCAATACAAATTCAAGAGACATATTTCAATAAGGATAATCCTTGCATTTGATATAGTGCCTTATCACATGAGACATTTCAAAGCAGAATATATTGTAAAGTGATTTGACCGTATATTTTGGGGGCAAATTTCTGCAGCCAATTAATAATAATCCTGGCATTTGATATAGCGCTTTTCACGTCTTCTAGACGTTCCAAAGCGCTTCACAGAATATACTGTAAAGTGAATTGACTGTATATTTGTGGGCGAATTGCACACAGCAGGGTCCCACAAACAGTTGTGGAGTGAGTAATCAAATTATTTATTTGAAGATTATTTTAAGGTTTCTTTATATTTGCACCATTCGCATCCTGGCAGGAATCTGGGATTATTAGCTGATTTGCGCGAATATAAAGCAGGAAGTGATCCCCTCCTCCATTTTCCCAAATTAGATTACAAAACCCAATGCACAGAATGCCTTAAAAGCTCTTAACATAAACCGAATCAGCGCTTGTTGTTGATCGCTTCCATTGAAGCTGATTACACTCCACAATCGAGAGGGGGCTCCACGCCCTGTGTAACAGAGATCAAACTACAAGGACACTTTTTAATTGTTGTTACTGTATTTTAAAATCACAGCCAGCGAAACACAACCAATCATTTCAAGTCGTTTCTGTTTGACTCGGTGCCAATAACAATGTTATGTAGAGACCGGAGGGTTTCTTCCGTTTAAAAAAAAGAAATCATGTCGGTTTCATATTCAGTGTAGAATCGACATCGGACGCATTCCTTCAACTAACCTCACTGTTCGTCAACTAACAAACCGGCCATGAAACCCAGATTTAGTGCAGATATTGAAACACACACCACCTCCTTCGGCCCCAAACACACACATTGCTTTCACAATGCAAAGAGGATCGAATTATATTTTAAAAAGGATCATTTTCAGGAATCTTTTTCTAAACAAAAATCAAAACTGCATCGCTAACCCCTTATAGTTTATATACAAAAACGAATAAAATCGATTTAATCCGAGACATCTGTAAATTGAATATTTTTAAAAAATAATTTAGTGTGGGGGAGGGGGTGAGATCAAGAATATTACTGAGTGATAAATTGCACAGAACAGTAACACACACGCAGGAAAGATTTATCCCTTTTCCTTCTTCCCCATCACATACTGATAGTTACCCTTCTGACCCGTCTCTGATGTCCCCATTTGCCCTCCCCCCCACCCTCTGCCCTCCCCCCCACCCTCTGCCCTCCCCCCCACCCTCTGCCCTCTCCCTCACCTGCCCATGAAGCAGTTTCCGTCCTTGCGGGGTGTGCTCGGGGCTGCAGTACAGCCGGACACTGGCGAGGAGCTGCTGGCGGCCCCGATCCTCCCACAGGAGCTGCAGCTCAGCGATGCTCTCGGGCTCATGGGGTTGGCATCTGACAAAGAAGAAGTGGCCGAGTCTGACCGACAGCGACTTGATCTTAGCATCGGCCGAGCCCCGGGTCAGGCTGAAGGCTTTGTAGAAAGTGTAGGGTCCGTGGGTGCCGCAGGGAGACCCGATCCACTGGGAAAAGAGAGAGAGAGGAAGCGAAGGAGGGAGCAAGAGAGGGGAGGAAGGAAGAGCGAGACAAAGAGCAAAGCCATTAATAAAAAAGTATCATTTCAATCAAACGCTTTGCAGCAAAAGTTACTATTCTCATCTCTTTGCCACACACCCCAAAGTCCAAAGCCCCCGCACCATCTGCGCACACGGCCGCCCACCCGCAAAGCCATCCGCAAGCGGACTTGGTTAGTTTGACCCCCTCCCCCCCGGAAAAAGTTTGGAAAACTTTTTCAAAAAATTCACCTCGATTTTCAGCGGCTCCATTTCTTGTTGTGTTTGCGAGAGGCCGCGAGGCCCTGAGCTCCAACCGCTCCCCACACAGCCCCGAGACACCAACCAACTGCGGTGTTGGGAACAGAGAGAGAGAGAGAGAGGAAACCAACACATCAGCGACTTCCCTGAGGAAAGTGAAATGGCACAAAGAGCAGCGACCCCCCCCCCCCCCCCCCCCCCCCCCCCCCCCCCCCCCCCCCCCCCCCCCCCCCCCCCCCCCCCAAACACAGCCCCTCACCCAAACACAGCCCCTCACCCAAACACAGCCCCTCACCCAAACACAGCCCCTCACCCAAACACAGCCCCTCACCCAAACACAGCCCCTCACCCAAACACAGCCCCTCACCCAAACACAGCCCCTCACCCAAACACAGCCCCTCACCCAAACACAGCCCCTCACCCAAACACAGCCCTCACCCCCAAACACAGCCCCTCACCCAAACACAGCCCCTCACCCAAACACAGCCCCTCACCCAAACACAGCCCCTCACCCAAACACAGCCCCTCACCCAAACACAGCCCTCACCCCCAAACACAGCCCCTCACCCAAACACAGCCCCTCACCCAAACACAGCCCCTCACCCAAACACAGCCCCTCACCCAAACACAGCCCCTCACCCAAACACAAGTCGAAAAATTTAAGATATTTTAACTTTCAATTATAAAAGATTTGGGCGCTGCTCCTTTGTGTTCTATTTTTATATATTTTTTAAGAAAGCCCCCCCCCGGGCTCCCCCCCCCCCCGGGCTCCCCCCCCCCCGGGCTCCCCCCCCCCCGCCGGGCTCCCCCCCCCGCCGGGCTCCCCCCCCCCCCGCCGGGCTCCCCCCCCCCCCCCCGGGCTCCCCCCCCCCCCCCCGGGCTCCCCCCCCCCCCCCCCCGGGCTCCCCCCCCCCCGGGCTCCCCCCCCCGGGCTCCCCCCCCCCCCGGGCTCCCCCCCCCGGGCTCCCCCCCCCCCGGGCTCCCCCCCCCGGCTCCCCCCCCCCCCGGGCTCCCCCCCCCCCCCCCCCCCCCCCCCGGGCTCCCCCCCCCCCCCCCCCCCCCCCCCCCCGCCCCCCCCCCGGCTCCCCCCCCCCCCCCCCGGGCTCCCCCCCCCCCCCCCCCCCCCCCCCCCCCCCCCCCCCCCCCGGGCTCCCCCCCCGCCCCCCCCCCCCCGGGCTCCCCCCCCCCGCCCCTCCCCCCGGGCTCCCCCCCCCCCCCCCCCGCCCCCCCCCCCCCCCCCCCGGGCTCCCCCCCCCCGCCCCCCCCCCCCCCCCCGGGCTCCCCCCCCCCCCCCCCCCCCCCCCCGGGCTCCCCCCCCCCCCCCCCCCCCCCCCGGGCTCCCCCCCCGCCCCCCCCCCCCCCCCCCCCCCCCCCCCCCCCCCCTCCCCCCGGCTCCCCCCCGGGTGTTTTACCCTCTGGGCGGCGTGACGTCACCTGAAGATAAAGCGTTTGAGTGGGAATGTGCTTCCTGCAAAAATGAGATAGCGATTGGGAATATTTCCTGAAGAGTAACTCTGAGACTGGGAATGTTTCCTACAGAGAGACTCTGGGATTGGGAATATTTCTTGTAAACTGACTCTGGAATTTGGATATGTGTTCTTGTCCAGACTGGGATTGGGAATGTTATTTGCTGTGATAAAATTAAGGCTGAGATTCAATGAGGTTCAGAATAAAACTGGGATCTGGAATCTTCCTTTGGCAGTTAGAATGAAATTGGGAATGTTCTTACAATACATTGTTACATTTGTATAATGCCCTTCATATTGGGAAGACATCCCAAGGGCTGGACAGTGAGGGATCTGGACTTTTTGGACCCAAGATGGGGGTCAGGATCTGGAAGGGTGGGGGGTAGGAGGGGGGCCGAAGGCTCGGTCAAAGAGGAAGGTTTTGAGACGCGCCTTGAAGGATTCAAGGGAGGAAGCAAGGCACAGGGAATGTGGGATGGAGTCCATGGAGTGGGCTGAAGGCCCAAAGAGTTTCACAGAATATACTGAAGTTAATTAACTTACATTTTGTAGGCGAAACACAGCAGCCATTTGCCTACAGCAGTCTCCCACAATCATGTATTGAGTTACCAACTTTTTTATTTTTTTAATAATATTCTTTGCAATTTGATATAGTTAGTACCTTATCACAGCATTGAAACATCTCAAACCACTTCACAGGATTTATTGTGAAATGTAGCAACTGCATTAGAAAGCAAACACAGCAGCCAATTTGTGCACAGCTGTTTCACAAGTAGCCATGCAGTGAATGATTTTATCTGGTGAGTTGTTGGCCAGAATACAGGGAGAAACTCCTTTCTCACCTGCCCCAAAACTTTGGAACACTCTCCCTCAATCCTTGTCCCCTCTCTTTCCTTTTTCATGTACCGCCTGAAAACCATCATTTTCGACTGTGTTTTCAGTCATCCCCCCTCCCTGGCTCGGATCAGGCTCCGCCACTGTTAAACACCCTGAGACACTACCCTGCATGGAGGGCACTATATAAGTGCAAGTTGTTGTTCTCCTTTTGAATAGTGGCATGGGATCTTTAACATCCATCTGAAAAGGCAAACAACAACAATTACAAGTTGCATTTATATATTCCCCTTCATGCAGGGTAACATCTGTCGAAGGAATTTCTTGCTTTAATTACACTGGTTGGTACTTTGTTCCACAAAGTTGCCTTTGATGCTCTTCATGCTTCTCAGATGATCCGACGGCCCATCTTATGATTACTTTCTTGGCCCTTCACAAGTAAACGTACTTACAGTGGAAATACATCAGGTGAAACAGGTAGGAAGGTTCCAGGAAGACAACTGTGACTGATTCCTGCAGAAACTTTTATTTTCATTTTGCTTTCCATTTATTTGGTCCAAATTCTGGAAAATATTCCCTGCTGGCAGTAACAGTCCACGACCTTGCAAATGCAGTCATTGTTTTGATTTGGCCAGACATTTCTGTTTCAATGGCATAAGTCTCAAATACATTGTACAGCAGTGTGCTTCACAAAAAATGTGAGCTTTTATTAAAAAGCTTTTTTTTTTGCATTCACACATTGTCCCAGACGCCAACTGTAAGATAGGTTTCTGTAACCAGACCAGGCAGTTCATTGTAACAACTTACCTTCTCATAAGGCTGAGTAGGCCGTTTTAACTGTTCTGCCCCTTCACAGAACAGACCAAGCCATTGTAATCAAGTCACACAACAATGTCTCACAAATAGACATGAAGTGAATGACCAATTTTATTTGGGGGACTGTTAGCCATTGAAAGAAACTCCTCTTCATGATACAACACAAAAGCTCCTCTTGTGTAATTCAACAACCACGGTTGACAAATGAGATTCAAGGCAGCATCAAACTAAAAGAAGTCTTACACTAATGCAAGAAAAAGTGGAAATCCAGCAGACTGAGCAACTTATAAAAAGAGATACAAAAAAGGTAATAAGAGGTGCAAAAAGGGAATGAGAAAAAACTTGCAAGGGATATCAAGGGCAACAGTAAAAGTTTTCACAAATATATTAAGAGAAAGAGAGTGGTAAAGGGCCCATTAAAGACAGATGTAGGTGAGACAATAATAGACAATAAGGAAATGGCAGGATTGTTGAATGGATACTTTACTTCCGTTTTCACAGTAGAGGAAGAGGACAAAACAGCAGTGGGACAAGGGAACCTAAAAATAAGCCAAAGAGAAGTACTAAATGGATTTAATATAAATTAAAAAATGGTAATGGCGAAAATAATGGGATTAAAGATAGACAAATCAACAGGATTGGATAGATTCCACCCCAGGGTATTAAAAGAAGCAGGTAAGAAAATTGCAGATGTGTTAGTCATAATTTTCCAAAGCTCTATATTCCGGAATTGTGCCCTCGGATTGGAGAATTGCAAATATCATTCCATTATTTAAGAAGGGAGGGAGGGAGAAACCAGATAACTACAGACCTGTCACCTTAACTTCAGTTGTGGGGAAGTTACTGGAATCTCTCATCAGAGACAGAGTGACTGAGCACTTGGACAAGTAATCAAAGAGAGTCTCATAGATTTGTGAAGGGTAGGTCACGCCTGATGAATCTAATTGAATTCTTTGAGGTCAGTAACATGATGGATAAGAGAGTGCCTATGGATGTCGTCTACATGGACTTCCAGAAGGCAATTGATAAGGTTCTACACAAGAGGTTATTAACAAAAATAAAAGCACATGGAATTGGAAGTAACCTTGCAATGTGGCTTGGTAATTGGTTGGGAGGCAGGTGAGATGGTTCTAACTCTTTGAGGAGGCTGAACCTGTTTGCGTATTCCCTCCTTTGATTTATACAGAAAGCTCAGTTAAATTAGCTCAACAGAATTTTATTCTAACTTCAGATTTCTCAGTCCGTCCGATTTTATTGTAACATCAAGAATCAGACTTGATGGCACCATAAGTATCAAAAATGTTAAATACACAAAAAAAAGTATTTAAAGCGCTACTCAATATATTTAAACAACAGACAGGCATAGAAAGCAAAATGGGTGAAAGTGACACAGGAAAGAGATTAGGGATATGGGGAACGTTCCCTGATTGGTAGGATGTGGTGTTCCTCAGAGGTCTGTACTGGGGCTTCAGCTTTTCATTATAAACATATAAATTACTTGTATAATACATAAATGTATAAATAAGTAAATATATAAATATAAATGGATGAAGGGATAGAGAGTTTTATATCCAAATTTACAGATGATGTAAAGTTAGGAAGCACAGTAAATTGTGTAGATGAAATCAGGAAGATACAGTAACTTAGATAGATTAAGTGAGTGGCAAACAGTGGCAGATGGAATTCAGTGTGGGGAAGTGTGAGATCATCCACTATGGATCCAAAAATAGTGAAACAGAATATTTTGTAACTGGGGAGAAACTAAGAACTGTGGAGGAGCAAAGAGATTTGGGTGTCCATGTACACAAATCACTAAAAACAAGCTCACAGGTGTAAAAAGTTATCAAAAAGTCCAATGGGATGTTGGCTTGTATCTCAAGGGGCTGGAATATAAGAGAGGAAATTATGCTTCAACTATATGGAGCCTTGGTCAAACGCTATGTGGAGTACTGTATTCAGTTTTGGCCACCGCACCTCAGAAAGGATATACCGGCTCTGGAGGGGGTGCAGCGCAGATTCACCAACAACAACAAATAACACTTGTACAGTGCCCTTCATGT